CAATTCAAGAACAAATGCACTTATTTTAAGAAAAAATGACTTATCTAGATTTAGATTTTTTGCAGTGATCTGAATTTTTTTCACGACACAGGTTTCTATTTGCAGGACGGTGATCCTTTGGACTCTGTTAGGAACCATTAAGCTTCTTTAGCCTTTCTATGAATCATCTAAGATTTAATATTTCTGAACATATCTCACTTGTAACTCAGATCAATCTTATTTTTTTTATCTCTATTCTTTTTTTTGCCACCACAGCAATAAAGGATTATTCCCACAGAGACGACAAGAATCTCTTAGATCATCCTTTAGTTAATGAGAATGAATCAGAGGAGAAAAGGTGCCTTTTCAAAGCGGTGAGAAATATTAACCTTGAGAGGATTCAGGGAACGAAAATCGATGTTTCTAGAGTTCAGACGGTTCAGCTGGTTTGGGTTATGAAGAGGAATGTCACAGTTAACATCCCATCATTCCTGTTCCCATCCAAACATTTGGTGACTGCTAAGGTTTGGTAGATAAAGGCATCAGAAAAGAAGATTCATCAGAAAAATGTGTAGTTAAGAAGAAGATTGTGCTCTTTTGTTCCGTTTTAATCTTAAAGGAGCGCATTCAAAGCTTTATGGAAGAAAAATCTAATTGGAATCTGCCTTTTTTTTTTTTAAGCACAGAATTCTTTTACACATTGAATTCCTTACACTGCAAAAAATGTGCCTGCAAATGTGTTGACCTGTTGGTGAACTCAAGCCAAAGAAAGCTACTCTCGATGCAGTCAAGCAGTTTCTAGCCAATGAAATGAGCTCATTAGGTCATGTGACACAACAGTTGGGCGTAGCTTTGTCCCTGGCTAGATGAAGCTGATTCTTGTTAAATAGAGATGATAATAAAACGTCAGGTAGCTACTAATAGACAGCCTTTAGAGTGTGTCATCTAATGGGACTGGGTGAAAAAACTGGGCTGATCACAGCGAGTTCGGCACCCCCGTCTGCCAAGGCTTTTGGTTTGATCCGGAACTTTTTTTTCTCACCAAATTAGCAAATTTCATTGGCTGGAAGCTGCTCAACTGCATTGAATGTAGATTTCTTTGGTTAGAGTTCACCAAAAGGTCATTTACAGGCACATTTTTTGCAGCTGAATTTTCACCAAATAAAAATTCAGTGTTTAAAATTCGGCTGGTAAAGTCGTAGGGAAGCGGCCGTTCCAACCGTGCCCGACTTTACACGAGTGAATAAAGCGACTGCGATTGGTCGATTATCAAGGGGGCGGGATTGTTTTGGTGGAAGGTTTGTAAGCAGTTTGGTTGTGGCCGGTTTGTCGGAAGCATCTTGCTAACCAGTTAGCAACTTAGTGCTAGCAGGTTCCCAATGGGAAATTCCATTGGGACCAAGTAGCACTAAATTGGTGACTTAGAAACGACGCTGTCAAGGAACGCTATGGACAGCGGAAACATGCAAGAGGAGGAGAGTTTAGTGTCGGAGGTCATGGATGAGTCTCCTCCGTCATCCATTTTTTATTTAGAGGAGGAAAGCGGGGACGAAGATGTTGTGGAAGAGGACGCCAGGGCGGCAGAAGCTTGGTTTGGTGTAGAAGGCTTCCAGCCGTACATGTTTGAGCCCTTGCCTCGCAACGCTGCCAGTTCTGTTAGCTCTACGCCTGCCGAAGACACAGACGTCCATCCCCGTGAACACTGGGACGCAACTCAATGGGAAAGGAAAGGATTCTGGTTTCAACCGTTGCGTATATTAGCTGCGACATATGAATCAAGATGCTATGACCCAAAAAATTTGATTGACAGATGAGCGTTGATATATGATTGGCCGAATTTAGGTGTTCAGGCTGAAAAAAAAAAAAAACTGATTTTAAGACAGGATTATTTTTTAAATAGAAATGTTCTAATTTTTGGGACAATATCATCTGATAAAGAGAACATTTATATACATGTTTAAGCCAGAATGATTTGACATTTAAACATGATGCTATGACCGATGCTATGACTGAAAAATTTGACTGACAGATGACCGTTGATATATGATTGGACGAATTTAGGTGTTCAGGCTGACGTAGAACTAACTGGTCTGCAGAAGATAACACAAATTTTGAGACAGGATTTTCTAAAAAAAAAATGAAATTTTCTACATTTTGGGACAATATTATCTGATAAAGAATACATTTATATACATGTTTAAGCAAGAATGATTTGACATTTAAATATGATTTCCCTACGACTTAAAAAAAATTCAGTGTTTAAAAATTCGGTGTACAAAAAAAGGCAGATTTGAATGAGTTTTTCTTCCATAAAGTTATGAAATATTAATCCGTGCTATAAAACATACAGACAAACGTTTTTGGTCACTTTAATCCATCTTAATTACATTTCATCATGATTACCTCTGAATTCCATGTTTTCCTCTGAGTGTTTGTACCTTTATACTTTTATCCAAGCTCTCCAGGGAGTTAATGTCTAATCCTTCTTTGCAGGCCTGCAGACAGGAAATGACTTTCTGACTCTCAATCTTCCCCGGTCGAATGGTGAGTCCAGAGAGGCTTCCTCGAAAGTACTGCGTGAACCGCGGCTTGGTGACTTCCCCTCCTACAAGAACAAAAAAATACAAATCCTTAATATACAAGTAAAAAAAACAACAAAGAACTGAATGCAGGTAAAATCCAACCATTCGTCTGTTTATCTATTTACTGCAGCTTGTTTGATTTTTTCTTTTCTTTTCTTTTATTTGCTCAGGCGGACATGAGAGCTACAGTACTGCAGTGCAACATGGTGCTAACCATTCCAATAAAATAACCATTCCAAACCTACAACAAGATGTTAGCAGAAACTAACCTGGCTGTATTTTAGCTTTCAACTCATGCCTTTGAGAAGCTGAGATTGAAGAAGATGATAAGAAGATCACAGGGTAAAGCACCCAAAAACGAAAGGAGCAAAACTATCAAGTACTTTAAGACTTTAAGGCTTAAAGATCAAATGGAGGTTTTACTTCCTTATCCGGTGATGAAGCAGCAGGGAGATGCTGCAAGTGATACTCTCAATTCAGGCTAAATAAAGGTAAGGAAAAAGTCAATACATTTAAGGTTTGTCCTCTGAACTCCTTAAAGGCCAATATCAGCAAGAGGAGACTCCAAACCATTCATTAGCTAAAAGGTTACTGTAGCTCTGGCTATCAAACGTCACCTTTGCATTCCTTTCATTTATCCCCTCCATCTTTCTAGGCTGTTCTTTGGCAGTAATCCACTGGAGCACTAAAAATAAAAATAAAACATTCCCCTTCTCTGCTGTCGGTTTGACTTAATGCAGAACGGCTCATTCATCAAAACAATTGAAGCAATGACTGACAGGGGAAGGCGTTTTATGTCAAAAACCAACTTCCTGTATCGTTAAAAAAAACTCCCCTTTGTGGACTTTTGTCTTATCGAAATAGTTTCTTTGCTCCTCGAGGACACATTAGAGCTCAGTATTTAATACTGTATCCAACATGCTAATGTAATCCTTCATAGTTTTTGATCTAGCAGTTATGCAGAAATCAGAAAAGTAGAAAGTGGTTAATGAGGGAGCGATCCAGTTAATGAAATTGGGTCAGCATAGTAAATGAGAGCACGTAAAAAGGAGGCAATAGTGACGAGCAAAAACTGAATCCAAACATCACAGCCAATTAATTCTGTTCTTAATCTCTCCAAATCACGCAAAAAAAAAAAAAAAAACTGTTTAACGAGCTCATTGGCGTATGGTGTGAAACTCTTTGCCGCAGATATTCACAGATTAAACCTAAAATCGGGACAAACTGCCTATTAGTGTGTTTGTTTCCTTTTAGCTAGCGAGGGAGACAGAAACTAAGGCGACGAGACAAGAGCAGCAAAACTTATAAGTTCTGAAAGCTTGGATCAGATTTCTGTTCCCAGCACATCCAACAAATCCACAACTGGACTGATACATTAAATGCCAGTAGCTTGATTGACTTTATTGATCTCACAGTGGAAAAAATTACTCGTTCCATGAGTTCAAATAGTCGAAGAAGAAGAAGAAGAAGGTGCTAAAGGAAGAAAAGAAGTCCAGAGTGCAGCCTAGGACAGAATCGGTGTTTCTCTCCAGTTTGTTCGGTCTCTTTCTGTCCCGCTCTGTGCTGCCAGGGGCCCAGCAGACACAGCGTCCTCCTTCTCACATATAAAGCCTTAAAGGAATAGTACACCCAAAACATGATTAGCCTTCATTTTCTACTCACCC